TTTGTTTTGAATTTTTAAAATTGATGTTTCTTTTATTACAAAGTGTGAAAACTACGAGAGCACACCTCCCTGCCTGGTCAATGTCCTGTCATGTAGACAGACTCTCCTTCACCAAGCCCAAACCCTCTCCTTGAGCAGTAGGTTCTAGCCTTCTTCCTACTCCACCAAATTCCTTCTCACTCTCTCTTGCAACATCAATTTTTCTCTTTCTACTAAATTATTTCTATCAATAAGTACACAGATGGGCTGTTATTTTTCCCATCTTAACAAATAAGGAAATCTCTCTCGACCTCATTTCCCCCTGCAGCTATAGCCTTATTTCTAGAAAGCAGTGTCTGTTTTGTCTTCATTTTCTTTCCCCTTTCTCTCCTCACTCAATTCAGAGCTTCACCCTCATTTCCCCAATAATTCCTTTTTTTTTTTTCCCCAAATCCACAGATGCTCTTCTGTCTCCACCTTACATGGCCCTTCAGCAGTGATTATACAGGTGATCAGTTTCTCCTCCCTAAAGCACCTTCTTCACTTGCCCTTGAAGGTCCTACACTCTCTAGGCTTCCCTCCCCTCACCAGCCCTTACTTCCCCACTCCCATCTTTGCTGGCTCCTCCTCACTCCCCGACCTCTTAAAGTTGCAGGGCCCCAGGGCTCAGTTCCTGCTTTCTTTTTCTACATTCATTTCTGTGGTGAACTCATGCAATTTCCTAACTTTACAGACTATATTACATCCAATTTAAGATGCCCTCAATTATAAGATGCATCATTAAGTTTAAGTTCCAGTAAGGAAGAAAGAAGCACTGCCAATGAAACTCTTTTCAAACTCTTTTATTTATTTTTTTGATACGGTGTCTTGCTCTGTCGCCCAGGCCAGAGTGCAGTGACACAATCTCGGGTCACTGCGACCTCCACCTCCCAGGTTCAAGCAATTCTCCTGCTTCAGCCTCCCCAGTAGCTGGGATTACAGATACTCACCACCATGCCCTGCTAATATTTGTATTTTTAGTACAGACAGGGTTTCACCACGTTGACCAGGCTGGTCTCGAACACCTGACCTCGTGATCCACTCACCTCGGCCTCCCAAAGTGCTGAGATTACAGGCGTGAGCCACTGAGCCCGGCTGCCAATCAAACTCTTATATCCTATCATCTCAATTTCAGATGTCTCTTTGTTCTCAGAGTCCCTCAACTACTCTGGAGAGAGTGATCATGCTTCTCCTTCCCAGCACCCCTCTTGGGGAACAGGGTTCACACCCCTCCTTCTATCCTTTTTCTTCTAACTCTCTTCAGCACCCAGCCTGTGCAATCCTTATGTGAACTTGGGATGGTATCACCTGTTACTACACCTAGCTTTGCCACGTATGGTTGTACACATCACAACTTGTATGAATTTACTCCGTTAGGTTGTGCAGTATATAATCTGTACAACGATACATTGTTGCCTGACTTCACCCATTCTTCCAAGGCTTTTTATTTTTCTCTTTATAATACTGTCTTAGTTCATTTTTTGTTGCTATAACTGAACACCTGAGGCTGACTGGTTTATAAAGAAGAGAAATTTATTTTTTTAACAATTCTGGAGTCTCGGAAGTCCAAAGTTGAGGGGTTGCAACTGGTAAGGGGCTTCTTATTGGTGCGGACTCTCTGCAGAGTTCTGAGATGGCTCAGGGCAACACACGGTGAGAGGACCCACCAGAGACGGCCAAAGTGGCTTTCATATGAGACCCACTTTTGTGATAACCCATTAATCCATTAATGTATGAATGGGTCCATTCATGAGAGCAGAGCCCTCATGACCCAATCATCTCCCACAGGCCCCACCTCTCAATATTTCTGCATTGGGAACCAAGTTTCCAACACATGAGCTTTTGAGGAACACATTTAAACTACAGCAAATACCTTGTCCTGGACTTTTGAAACTTTAGAGCAAGAAGGAGACTCTTTAGTTCTGTGTATTCTTCCCTGTTATTTCTTCCCTGAGGCAATCGCTGTAGCCTTGGGCTTTTTGCTCCAGTTGGGCACCCCTGAGCTTACCACTGTGGCTAGAAAAAAATGTGCCCTAACTGACATAGGCCTGGGAGCCCATCTAGGAGCCATTCACAGTGGCGAGGGGTGGCCCTTGTTTGGCTTAACCGATGAGAACACTCCCTTGGCTATGAGGGTAGGGTCCATCTTAACCAAATGTCAAGATTGCTACCAATGGGGGAGGGATGGAATGAATGTGGGGGTACCCACTGGGTCTGCTCCACAGGGTCAAAGGCAGGGATGGTGTTACTGGGATGAAAGAGACTTGAGCTTGTGTTTAGGTCCACAGACAGGAAGCGATTAAAGATGTTGGAGGGAAAGAGCCTAAAGCTGGTTAGGAGCAAAATCCCAGAGAACAAATGAGGTGTATCGGGGAGGGTCTAGATTTGAAATGAAGGCATGAAACTTCTCCTGGATGGAGGATGATGAAGAGACTTGCTATGAAGGTATAAATGAAGGAAGGGATGTGAGGGCCTCTGACGGTCTTGTGTCCTCCAGGTAGGAGGAGCAGCCCAGCTGGAGATATTGGTAGTGTGGGCAGCTTCATGGTACTTTCTGGGAAGTGTCCAATGTGTAATTTTAATTGGCTCTTTTCATTAAATAGAATTGATATTGTTTGAAGAGATCGATCACTTGAAAATTAGGATTTTGATTCACTTCTCAAATGAAGAGAAAGTACCTTTGCCTCATGTATGTCTGCAGAATTTGGGAGAATACATCATGAGCTCAGGGAATGTGTGTGCGAAGATGTTTAAAAAGTCAGGGAATGTGTGTGCGAAGATGTTTAAAAAGTCACTTGTGGGAATTTGCCTGGCTCGGTGGTTAGGAATGTGGACTCCGAAGCCAGGAGCTCTGGGCGCACATCCAGGCTCTGCAACCTTGGGCAGGCTCCTGAACTCCTCTGTTTCCTTGCTAAAAAATGGGCAAGATATCACTATTTTTGGTGTAGAGCTACCAGAAGGATCAGAAGACTTAATATCTGTGTGTGTTTTGGAGAGTTACTGGCACATATTAGATAGTTTTACTGCGAATCATCATTATTTATAATAATTCTATGACATGCTGGATTGTACATTGTCTTTATAAATGAAATTTATTTTGTTTTCCTAATTTCGTGAAACCTACATTTTTCCAGGGCTATTTTCTTTGGGGAAAGAGCATGCAGATGTTCAGTGTTTTCAATGTAGCGGTGTTTAAAATGTCATCATTGTTTCCTTTCTGGTGGGATATTCAGAGCCAGCTTAAAGAGAATCTACTCCAGAAAGTTCCATATTAGCAATTATGTGGGGGGTGGTGCTCATATGCCTTAATGAATGATTTATTTATTAGTATATTGGGAATGGCTTCCCCCTTCTCACACTAGCATCTTTTCCCCACTTTCCGGCCCTTTTCTAAATGAGAAGGGCTGAAGTCAATCAGGATTTAAGATTTAACATTTCTGGGATTATCTTCGAATGAGACACTGCACTGGGGGGACACAGTTTCACTCATCCTCCATGGTGGCAGTCTAAATTGCTGCTTCGGGAGCAGGCCTGGCTGTGTCTAAGGCCTCAGAATGTTCCAGAAGGCTCCCGTAACAGTGCCACTGTGGAAGAAACCACTTCTAATGTGGCAGGAAGGTATGGCCCTGCTTGGAGCCCATGTTTTCTAACTATTTCACGTTACTTTCTTTCATCCCTGGTGTTATTTTTTGAAATTAATTTTTATTTTTAGTTCTCCCAGGAATTAACGAGTTAACTTAATAAAAGTCTTCATAAAAGAAGGTAAAGTCTGGCTTTCCACATAGAGAACAAACATAACAACCCACATCTCTGCAGAGATCCTGGTCAATGCATTCTTCTAGTGGGGCTGCCACACCCCTGGGGCCTCGGACAAGCCTGTTGTGGACGACAGGGGCTGGGCTGAAGACTGTCTCTGGGGCTGTGCCTCCTCCCTGTTCTCCACTCTCCCCCTAAAGGAAATGCACTGCAATGAATTACGCAATAAAGGCATTCCTAAATTCTGGAAAACCAGCAGGCTTTGAACTCTCCTGGGGGAAAGAACCATAAAAAACAAAACTGCAAGGAATGAGACTATTTGGCCAAATGGCCAATATGCTACAACTTTCATAGGGAACTCACCGCACTTGGTATTGCCTGATGGAAAAAATGCCCTGAATTTCCCGATAAAAGATCTGAGATGTGGCAAAGGAATAAGCATTTTTTCCCTAAGACAAATCTAGCTGTAAATGGAAACTGGGTCTCATGCCTCCGACAAAATATTATTTCCGTATTTACTCTAAACCTTTAGGAGTATCAGAATATAGCCTACATAACATCAGGTACAAAGCCACAAAAGGCTTCCAGGGCGCCATTGTTCATCCATGACCTTGACTATGTCACCCCCAGAAACCTTGAGTTGGGCAAATGCAATCACAGCAGCTTTGCTGGCTTCTTGAGCAGCTGCTAAGGATCACATGGATTCTGCTCACACCCAGTGCTTCTCATAATTTAAAAATGCTTGAAGCTGTGGGAGGCTGCCCGGCCCTCTGCATTATTCAAAAGAAAACCAGGAGGCAGCGACAATTCTTGATTCTTGCAGATAAACATTCTCCAACAACTATTAAGAGTTGGATTGCTCTACCTTCATTTAATTCCTTGTTGCTTTACTATTTGGATCTAGCATATTCTTGAAGTCTGAAAGATGGATAGAAAAGATGTAAGTCATGTAAACTGAAAAACAGGGCACCAACCCCCCAACAGACAGCTTTGAAGAGATGATGATTTTAGATCTTGTGAATTGTTGTGTCAGAGGAACATATGCAGAAGAAAACAGGCACCGCAATGGTTATTACCAGAACAAAGTAAACCTGAACACCTAAAAGAATAAGAAAATATCTCATCCTTCTCTCTACTCTGAACTGCCTTGAAAAGAGCAAGAATTTCATACATGAGCCTGTAGCACATTACAAAATCTTAGTATGTATTTGAAATTCAAATGCACACAAAGTTCATGCATTTTATTTTCCAGTTGTTCTCAAGACTCCTAAATAGAGCATTTCCCCTGTGTGGGCGACCCCTGGGTCCCATGTGGGGTCAGTGTTTGGGTCTCTCTGAGAGGATCAGGAAGGCTGCCCTTCCAGGAAGGGCTGCAGGGACCCTGGGAACCGGACCAGTCCAGCTCACAAGTATGAAGAGAATGTCGGGAGAGGAAGTGGTGGCTATGAGTCAGCATGAGTCATCTCGTTCCAATGAGAATGAAGGCTGAGGTGTGCGCCTTTTTTTTTTTTCCTTCTTAGTCGTGTGTACATCATTGGGAATGGAGGGAAATAAATGACTGGATGGTCGCCACTTTTTAAGTTTCAAATTGACATTCTAGGCAAGTGGTGCCTGAGCCCGTGCCTGTCTTCAGATGTTCACAGCACAGTTCCTGGGAAGGTGGAGCCACCAGCCTCTCCCTGGTGAGTATGTTTCTGTCATTTTTAGGGTCGCTTCTGCAGTTTGCCTTGGAGTCTGGGCTGTGGGAAATGCTGCTGCGTCCTGGCGGGGACACTGCGTTTCTTTCAGACTTTGAAGATATGTCGTTTTAGAAAAGTGGCTGCCTCTGCCCCCAGCCCTGTGGTTACTGTCCTGTAGTGTGACTGTCAGGGGGTGTTTCTCGGTCCTTCATTGCGAGAATGTAGATGCCGGTTGCACATTCTGTTGTCTTGGAAGAAACTGCAGTGCTTGGCTGGAAAATAAGCTGCTCGGGACTCTGAGAAGCCAGAGTGAAGCTCAGAGATGGAAGTGGGTATACTTGTGCTAACCCAGGGTTGCTGAGGTTGGGTGAGCTTCCGCTTCTCAGAGGTGGAGGAGAGGCAGCTCCTGAGCCATTTCTGGCCTCGTGGTCGGAGCTGCCCAATTTTGGTGCAAGAAATACCAGAGAGGCAGAACTTTGGCTGCCTTCTCTAAAAGCATATGAATGGTTGCTGGAGCTTATTTTGCGTCCTTTCCTTTTCCTTAACGTTGAAAGTCACAAACTGTAGTAAAATCAGGAAGAACATAAAAATGTTGGGGGGTAGCGCTGGGGGTGGGGGACTGGGGAGGACTGAGGAGGGGGGCACTCAGTCTTTGAGGCCTGACTTGATCTTGATAGGTATTTCTCAGGCTGTTATTATTCCGATGAAGCTTAGCTTTACTGTCAAGTAAAATACAGGAAACATTTTTTTAAATGTTGTTCTAGTTACTGTAAATGAAACGGTTAAAATGTCATAAATACCTTATGATAAACATTTTTTCAAATTTGCTTAAAAAGCAACACCTCAGTAGGCAGGGTATGACAGGGAGCTTTTTCAGTACAGTCATTTGAGTGTGTGGGCTTCCTGGGTTAATAATGAGTCAGCACCCAATTTCTAAAATTGGAGCAGCTAAGAGAATGTTCAATCTGCCCCTTAGCACAGCACGGTGGCCGGCTGGGCCCCCGTAGGAAGGCTTGGCTGGTGGATCTTTGGTTAAAATTGACTTAGGATGCCCCCATTGTGTAAGTGACCAGCTCCCAGCTTAGGTCCCAGCTCCTCTGGGCTACTGCTGAGAGACCCCCTCTGCTAAGGGATCTGTCTCTAAGGCAGGAGTTAACACATTTGGCTTCCAACCTTTGGCTAATGTTGACGATTTTTGAGGGAACAGGTTGAACATCGTTTCTGAAATGAAAAATCTAATGTTTATTAAGGCTAGGGCAGCTGAGGGCTGAGGCTGCATCTGGAGCCTTGAGATGTTCCGCTCGCACGTCACCTCACCAAGGGATTGGGCGGGAGAGTCGGTCACCGAGTGAACTTCAAAGTTGGCGCTCTGCATGTGACGTGTAGCGTGGGAAGATTAAGTCAGCTTAAAATGAGAGAACAAGATCCCAAGGAAGAAAACCTCCCCAGAACCTTACTCTTTTATAGATAAAAGAAGATACATATTGAGAAAATTAAAAAAATAAAATGAAATAGTTGGGCTGCAAACCAGCAGCTCTAGGACCAGATGCAGCCTTGGTGAAGGCATCCCCCACCAGATTCTGTTTGGCCTGCTCAGGATTGTTTTTTTTTTGGTGTTGAGATAACTGTGGGTGGGGTCCACGCTCTCCGGATCTCAGGCGCTGCCACACCCTGATGCCACAAAGCTTGGAGAGTGCGATTACAGGGAGGTTCAGAAGCCAGGCTAAGGGCCTGCCAGCCTCGTGGGGCTGCCGTGTGGTCCCCATGGTTTAGCATCCGCCCAGCCCCCAGAACAGGGCCTGGATGGAGAAGGAGCTCCATCAACACTAACTCTGCTAGACTCTCTTATTAATTTGCCCTCTGAAGGCACTTGGGCTTGTGGTCCTTGAGTTAGCTCCACGCCTTTTTCAAGAAAGATCCTGCAGTTCCAGCGTGAGCAGTGGTTGTTTCCAAGGCTAACAATCCCGTGCCAACTAGGGGGCTCCACAAGTCAGGTGCCAGGCATTTCTAAGCCGGGAGAGCAGCCCCGCTTGTCTCTCTGGGTGAGTCCTCTCAGGGTGAGACCCTGTCTCCTTGTAAGCACTTGGAGACGTGCCACCTTCATGGAGACGGGAGCCAGTAAAAGGCAAACTGCCTTAGACAGCGCTTCCGTGCCGTGTGGACACCAACATTCACTCATCCTTGTTTCAGAGAAGGTGCCGGGTCCCAGACATGTGCTTATCACTGGGTCCCATGTCCTTCAATCCTTTAAAGGGTTTTGAGGTGGCTGATTTTTATCCCATACATTGATCATGTTTTTTCATGCAGAATTTGGGCAGTTGTCTGGACATTAGGAGTTGAGTCACCTCCTACCCATGAGAAACAAGCCTGTGGGGGGACTGACATTATCACTTCTGTCATCAAGAAATAAGGCCGTGGGCATCCTGAATATATAGCATGTATTAATCGAACTGCGAAAATGAAATGCAGCCAGTGATGACTGCTGGAAGTTGGCCAATGTCCTGTTGTCATGGTGCCCTCAGCCTAGGGACTGGCCTGTGGCTCACTGGACCTGTCTCCCACTTTCCACCTCTCATCAGCACCTGGACCTGGTGCACCTGGTCTACCTCATGTCCAGCATTTTCCACAGTACCTGACTGCTGTCCCTACCCCTTGTTGTTGTGTGGTGAACTCGTCCCTATATTGGCAAGTTACTTAATTCCTTGGTGTCCCGCCTTCCTCATTGTAAAATGTGAATAGTCATAGCACGAGTGTCATGAGTTCTTGTGAAGATTTTATGATTAGCACACAAGTTACAAGGAGACACGATAACTGTTACGTACATACTCATTCGTTCAGAAATATAACAGAAAGCTTAGTGTCTCCATCTGGGTCCCTCTGCCCTGTGGGAATCCATAAAGAATTGATTCGCATCCCCCGGAAGTGAGATCCCTCTTGCGTCATCAATTACATGGCATGTTCTGCATTTACAGGACATTGATTTATTAGGTAAATGGGGAATCCTCCTTGGTTCACTCCAGGAAAACCTGGAGTTCTAGATATCATCATCATCATCATCATCATGGTCATCGTCATTGACATCTCACAATAAGAACTCCCATTGTATTCAGCCCTAACTATATGGTAGCAACTTTACGGTATTCCCTTTACCCTCTCCCCACCCCAATATCCATCCTGGAAGATGGGAAGGATGATTGGTTTGTTGACTCACTCAAGGCGGTGGGACTCTCCAGCAGGCATCAGGCATAGCATCTGCTTCAAAGAACGTGTCGGCGGCAACAGGGGAGCCCCTTGCACTCACTCAGGCAGGAGAATCAGGAAAAGCAGCAGCTCTGCAGGGCTTTGTGTGTAATCCAACCAGACTGAAGCCACAGGCCAGGAAACTGAGGACGGTTGGCTTCAGACCTACCCTGGAGTGGAAGCAGCTGGATTCTGTCCTCATGCTTCCTGTCTAAAGCCAGCTAGAGTGAATTTCTAGTCATCTAGATTCGGGTTATTTGGAAATCATCGCAGTATCTGGAGATGACTCATATTGAAAAAAATTAAATAAGATACACTTAAAACTTAACCCAGGGTGAACATAACATGGCCTTTCCTTGTCAATTCTGAAGAAGATCTTTCAAGTTTGTGCAGTGCCTTAGAAGCCAGATGCTCTCTTCCATTCTGCCAGGGTCCTAAAGAAGTACTACTGTGTCCTTTTGATCACTCTGCCTTGATCACTCTGTCCCGTCACTCTGCTATTTCACCTGTCAGTGAAATACCTGGTATTGGCCTGTCAACATGAAGCACTGAATGCTTTACACGTCTCCATCCGGATTGTTTAGGCTTTGAATGCCGAGAAGTATCTGCACTTTGTTGGTCAATTGTAGTTGGTGCTAATTTGTGGGGAGTTTTTCCTGCAACTTCCCCTTGTGCCATAATCCAGAGGATCTCCCTCTGCCCCCAGTGCTGTAGGCTAGGCAGATATGGGCCTGGCTTAGGGCTGTCGGGCAAGGATTGGACTCTCTATAGGTTCTGGAGGGTTCTGGTTAGATCACAGAGCTCAGGCAAGGAAAAGACAATAATAGATCAGAAGGAAGTTGGGCCATCAGGAAGGATGAGTGGGCAGGATGCTTGGTGGTGTGAGAGGATTCCTTCTGATTAAAAAAATAGAGGTTATTGCACTTTGTGTAATCAGAAAAGCTAAGGGTGACAGCAGATCTTATCCATTGTGGTTTTCCTGCTTATCTTTTGCTTTTAGGAGTGACTACCCTGCGAGTGAGGGCTTCTGCTACAGGGTCTTGTAGCTCTTCTCTTCATCCTGCCCTTTAAAAAATTTATCAGACTAGGCCGGGCACGGTGGCTCAAGCCTGTAATCCCAGCACTTTGGGAGGCCGAGGCGGGCGGATCACAAGGTCAGGAGATCGAGACCATCCTGGCTAACACCGTGAAACCCCGTCTCTACTAAAAAAATACGAAAAACCAGCCGGGCGAGGTGGCGGCGCCTGTAGTCCCGGCTACTCGGGAGGCTGAGGCAGGAGAATAGCGTGAACCCGGGGGGCGGAGCTTGCAGTGAGCCGAGATAGCGCCACTGCACTCCAGCCTGGGCGGCAGAGCAAGACTCCGTCTCAAAAAAAAAAAAAAAAAAAAAAAAAAAAAAAAAAAAAAATTATCAGACTAAAAATCACAGAATTTTAATGATGGCAGAAAATGTATTATTTTGGCTGTTCTCACTGGACAAATAACTTACAGAGCTGGGAGACGGATTGTGTAAATAAAAAAAAAAAAAAAAAAAAAAAAAAAAAAAAAAAAAAAAAATTTATCAGACTAAAAATCACAGGAATTTTAATGATGGCAGAAAATGTATTATTTTGGCTGTTCTCACTGGACAAATAACTTACAGAGCGTGAGACGGATGTGTAAATTTCTATCAGTTCAACTAGGTACAAGCGAAAATGTGTAAAATAGCAAGGGCTTCGAAAAGAGTCAGGCTTAATTTCTCTTGCACAGAAAAAGGATTCTGTTGCTCTTTCTGTCCCGTCCTCAAACAGGAAACAGGTTTTGTCTGGGACAAGGGTCAACAGGCAGCCTGTTCATCCATCTGCCTACTCTGCCATCCTTAGCACTCGCTTCCTTCTTCCAAGTTATCTTATGCTTCAAGAAGGCTGCTGGAGCTCCTGCCATCACTTCTGCATTCCAGACAGAAGGGAGGAAGGAAGTGGTGGGCAGAAGGCAAAGCCTCCTAGATGTCAGACTCCTCTGCAGACCTTTCCTTGAATTCCCAGCTAACACTTTCACCCTAGTCTTTTACTGGCCACCCTATCTGTGAAGCAGCTGGAGGAGAAAGATGGAGGAGTGAGGCAAGGCCCTGAGATGATGTAGAGCAAGGGGCACACAAGGGGGGACTCAAGTCCAAGGTGAAATGGCAGCAAGCACCGTCCCTCCAAAACCCACTGCCTCCTTATGAATCCCTTTGGCCTCGGTTATGCCAGTAGATAATGGGTATGTGACAGTTTCAGCTTCTCTGGCCTTTGATCAGGTTGAATTATGTGAATAGGCTCTGTGCCCTTGGAGATGAACCTGTTCTAAAAATTCTAAGCAACTCAGCCATTTGGCTCTTTGCTGGAAAGTAGCCTGATTTTTGAAGCCAAGTCTGGACAGTTTCCTTGCTGCACCTTGGGACTCAAAGAACATGGTCCTGACTCAGAAAGAGCTGGCTTTGAGGGAAGGGGTGAGTCATGAACCCAGACACAGCAGAGATTCCTGGTGCCAGTCTCCTGGGGGGAATTTATGATGGCCTTACATAATTGGGCTTATATATGTTTCACTAGAAAGACAAAAATAGGAGTGAATTGTCTGCCAATTCACTACCACCTCCTTGGGGTCTAAGAGCCAAGCTGATGGTTCAAAGCTGGGATCCTCTATGTATTAACAGTGTGGTCCTTAACCCCTCTTTGTCCCAATTCCACATCTGAACAATGGGGATGATAATGGTAGACTCTGCCATATATGGTTCTGAGGACTAAGTGAGGCCACATGTGCAAAGGATTCGGAACAGTGCCTGGCCCCAAGTCAGCCCTCAGTCAACATAGCAGTGTTTGGATTGTCCTTATTACTTTATTGGATGCATGATAAATACTGTTTAAATGCATGAATGAAAAGAAATCCTACTTGATTTTAATAGGAAAATCAAACAAGTGACTTCTGTCCCTTTGAATACCCTCCTCTAAGTTGTCCAAAGTCCTTGAAGTTACCATCTCCTTGGTACCCTTCCTGATGCCTCTGGTGCGGGCAATGTGGTTACTTCAACAAATAGACCCTGGTTACAAAGAAGCTAAGTGATCTGTCCCCAGGCCCACTCACAGGACAGAGTACTATACAATATCAATCTGGTTTTCTTCAGAACTCTGTTGCAGAGACTTTAGTATGCATTCTCTTCTGCTTCCTCTGTTGTCAACCACAACCCCGTGTTGTTAGGGACAACAGTGTGCCTGGTTAAAAAATGGCATTTCCTAGTCTCCTTTACAGATATGGTGGCCAATGAAAGATGTAGGCTGAAAGGGTTAGCCGGGGGTTCTAGAAAAGCTCTCTAAAGGAGCCTGACATCTAGTAGGCTTAGCCTTTTGCACCTGAATTCCCTCCTTCCCCCTGTCTGGAATGCAGACGTGACGGCTGGAACTCCAGCAGCCTTCATGAAGCCATAACACAACATGGAGGAAGGAAACCAGTGCTAAGGACGGCAGAGCAGGCAGATGGTCACAGGTCTTTGAGTGACCAGTTATTTTGCCTGGATATTTGACTATTTTTGGAGCCGGATGCAGACGGAGGTGGGAAAATTATTCCTGCTGACATTCAATCTGTAGGAGTATTTGTCAGAGTGTCAGGGTCACCTCTGTGTGGAGCTGCCTTTCAGGTCTCTGGTATGGGGGCAGGGGTCATGGTCTTATGGTGACACCCAGGGACCCCAGTTACTTTGGTCTTTGCAGACTACTTTCTTATGAAAAAGCAGAATTGTGACTGCCCTGGCAGAAAGATAAATGTCATTCAGGCTGATTCATTATTATACATTCATTTTCATTTATTTGCGGTTTTCCTCTGATTTTAAAAGAAATCAAAATTAAAACACTTTTCAGGCCCCTAACAGTATCATGGGCCCCACGCACTGTGCCCAGTGTGCCTAACGGGCATGCAGGCCCCAGGAAGGCAGAGAGCAATCACAGAAGGACTTGCCCTGGCCAACATAGGCTGGTCTCTCTAAGGGCAGCTTCAGAATTTTGGATTACCCAGAGATGCATGGCGGGAAATGTGGACCTAACTCTTGCCTCTGAGGAAGGCAGGCAGGCTTGGTTTCATGCACTGTTGGTGAGCCCGACATCCTCAGTGCTCACTCGAGCTTTGGAAATGGCAAGCAGGATTTTCAGAACAGGATTATCTGTCCTGTCCCTGTTTTAATTTCAGCCTCCTTATTCCCCCTGTAATAATGTGCTACACTGCCTCAATGTATTTGTTTAGTGGGTATGAATTCTAGTCTATAATGCTAAGGGATCAAATATGTGACATAACTTTACTCTAGAAATCTCTAAATTATGTGAAATCTGCTCCAAGCTCACCCTGCCCTACCTCACCCTTTCTACCTGGTTATTGGGAGATTAAAATTCTGTCATTATTGGGGATCCTTGCTTGTCACAATGCTCCAGATATCATCAAGCGATCTTGGGCTTAGGTGATGCCAGGAAACCTGGGCGGGAGTTCCATTGTCTGCGGTGACTGCTACCATTGCAACTTCGACACCTGGAGCCTCAGTGTGTGGGGAGCTCTGGGAGCTGCTCAAGGCCTGCTCCAGCTGGGGTGGTCCCCACACCTCTCTTGCTCTGTCCTCTAACCACAGGCTCTGCTGCTGGAAATGTGTCGCTGCTCTCCTGGCCACGGTGTGAGCTCCCGGTCTCAGCAAATGCACCCAGCAATGTCTGATGGGGCACCCTCTGTGGGCCTTGTCCTGCTTGCTGCTAGCTGCTGCTGGGCCTCCCCCAGCCTGGGCCTCCTGTCTCAGTCTGAAGGCCAAGAGACAGCAGTGACAGCAGAGGAGGCAGAAACAGAAAACTCTCTGAGGACCTGGGGAAGTCACAAGGTGGCTTCCCAAACTCTCTAGTGCAGCCTGGTCTGATAGAACCTCCTGCAAGGATGGGAAAGTACCTGTGCTGGTCAATGCAGTGGCCACGAGCCACTTGTGGTTACTAAGCAACTGAAATGTGGCTACTGTGACTAGGAACTGGATTGAAAGTTTTATCTAATTTCAATTAATTTTCATTTAAATGCCCACAACTGCATGTGGCGTGTAGCTACCAGGTTGGACAGCACACATGAGGAACACAGACTCCTGATCTGGGAGCCTTGAAAGATGAGCTGTCACTCTGATGCGGTGGAGGGCCTGAATTGAGCCCTGCAGTGGC